GGGAGGCCAGCCACTCTCCAGTGGACGATCCCCCTCCCCCCTTGAGTACACAGACAGCACAGACTGGATTTCCTGGGACTTGAGAGACAGCGAGGGAGGAGACGAAGTTGAGGCAGGAAGCTAGGAACGGGGTGGCGTGAATATGATCAAAGCCCACTCTGTGACATTCTCAGAGGGTTAATAAATGTATCATTGTCTGTTGTTTCATGCCTTTTGGGGCTTTCAATAACTGTGCCCTTCCCCCACCAGCTCATGAAGTATAATTAACTAATTGAACACATTTTCAACAGAAAACAAACAAAAGCTTGTTTACCAGAAAAATCCAAGGGCAAGCTCACTAAAGTCAGCCACACTGTGGCTGTAAATGATCACACCCAAGCCAGGCCCGTCCTAGGCTCCTTCAGGCCATGGCTTATCCTGCGCCTCCAAATGTCTCTTCTTGGTTTGCTGTAGGGGGATGTTTGGAAGATTTATATAGCTAAATTGTCATAACTAGAAAAACACACCTTTATAATCAAAACATTTACAATAATAAATGCTGCAGAGAAAAACTGCAGAGGAAGCAGGTCCAAGTGTGCATATGAAATGCAGGTATCCCCAGAAGCGCGGCACACACCGCTCAAGCCCCAAAGGGGCTTCTTTCAGGCAGAGCAGGCCACGTAGGGTGACAGCCAGGGACCCAAGCTCGGCCAGGGAATGCGGCTCAGCGCTTCTGTGCGCCTGCTGCTCCTGGATGCAGCGCCTCAGGGTTGACTCCCAGCACCCACCCCAAGCGGCTCACAACCACCTGGGAATCCCAGCTCCAGCAGCTCCAAAAGCCTCTTCTGGCCTCCAGGACCTCTGTGCTCACACAAAGACACACAAACATGGATAAAAATTACGGGTATCACTGTCTTTAAAATGCTCCAGCAAGAAAGAGTAAGAAGAAAGAGAAAGAGAGAGAAAGGGAGAGGGAGACAGAGGGGCACGGGACGGCCAGCGTTGACAGGGAGACAGAGGACACGGGATGGCCAGCGTTGACAGTTAGCGAGTGAACTGCTTCTGTTTACACACTTTACTTCTGTCCTGAAACTTTGCAGAGTAGGAAAATGTTTGTGAAAGGGTTAACCTGAGCCATCGGTCCTGGGGCTTACAGTCACGTGTTCAGCGTCTGAGACCAAGCACATGGACCGTCCTGCACTGCTGCCCGAGAGTGGGGGCTCCAGACTGGTCAGCGTGTTAAACAGCTGGATTCCTCTGAGGGAATTTGAGATGTGTTAAACAGCTGGATTCCTCTGAGGGAATTCGAGAAAAGAGCCGGAGAGGGAAGCTTAGACTGCGCCAGCGCCCTTCTGCAGACCCGACAAACCCGGGGGAAGCCCAGCAGGTCAGAGTGAGCTTCACAGAGACCGGACCTCAAGAGCTCTGAACCTGAGGCCACCCATGGCACCCCTGGAAATGGTGCCCAGACAGCCGACTCTGCCAGGGATCACCTCGTTCATCCTGGTAACCCTCAAGACAAACTGGCAAACTCACCACATCTTCCTCAGTGCTTGACTGCCCCCTAGTGGCTGCTGAAATTGACACAGCCAACTACTTGCAACAAAAGTAAAGTGCTTAAAAGAAATACAATTTTACAGGTAGGTACAGCAGTACAGCAAGGTGTAATGAATGGCGCACACCTTTAACCCCAGCACTCGGGAGGCAGAGGCTGGTGGGTCTCTGTGAGTTCGAGGCCAGCCTGGTCTACAGAGTAATTTCCAAGTCAGCCACACATCACACACACAAATATGGTACCAGAAAGGTGCACCTAGAGATATTTCAACATACCGTGTAAACTCCCTGTTATTCAACAAAATTTAGTTCCCTATATATGGTGATAATCTGTTTATGACATGACAGATAAAGCTTGCCTGGAGATCAGAGTGTAAAGCTAGGCAGCTAGGCACACTAGCCGGTCCAGTGAGGCTGTCGGGGAGAGACCCTGTCTGCAAAGACGGGGGAGAGTGTGACTGTGGGAGACGCCGGACATCAGCCTCTGGCCTTCACGGGCACATATGCACTTACATGTACAGGAACAAATCCACACGCTACACACAAAAATAAAGTCAAGGGTCAGGTGTAAAACAGGAAGTGAGAAACAAGAATGGTGTTTCCCAACGCCCCCGCATCTCAACCTAATAAAGCAAGAGCGAGCAGCCGGCAAGGGAAACCGCAGGGGGAGGTGACCTGGGACAGCCAGGCCAGAGTGAGACCCAGGAACTAGCGGCCAGTGCTCTCCATGAGCCGCGACAAGAGTCAGCTCCGGGCGGGTCAGTCACAGGAGTGGAGGCAGGAGAGAGGCCAGCCCATCGCCTCTGACTAAGGGTGCCCTCCCTCCGCACAGACTCCAGGGAATTCCTTCAGTGGGGGCCATCTGTCGGCCAGTGACACAGGGAGCCCCTAGTGTGCAGTGACATATTATTTGATTTATTAAAGCTGGCCTGAGGGTTAAGAAAGCAAAGTCATCCACAAGACTTACCAGCAGCCACAGACTAGGAGGTGGTGGCACACACCTTTAATCCTAGGACTCAGGTTTAAGACGTAGACGGATCTCTCTGTGAGTCCAAGGCGACTCAGGTCTACACAAGAGTGAATCAGTCTAAAAGAGAATTATAGCTCAAGTCTTTAATCCCAGCACTGGAGGGACATAAAACACTGAAGCAGGGTCTTCAGTATTCAATACCAGGCATTGGTTCTCCAGCCACACTGAGGAGAGGCAGCAGTTTGACACTTGGTGAAGAGCTCATGCATGTATTAGCCCTTTCAGCCTGAGCTTGAGGTGAGAGCTAGTGGCCGGCTGCTTCGATTTTCTGATCTTCAGCTTGAAGCTTGAACCCCAATATCAGTCTCTGGGTCATTTATTAATTTGTGTTACACCCTAGCATGAGACTCCATGGGAACAGAGGAAGTTTCTCAGCTCAGGGCTGATCTCTGGCCTTGCTTCCCCTAGTCAAGCCGCGGGCAGCCCTCGTCTTCAAATTCCTTCTGTGGTCTACCTGCAGACACCTCAGGGGGACCTGGTTGTGGCATCTGCCACCTCACTGACAGCCTGAGTTGATCGGGCTGACCTGGCTGGAGAGGTGGGTGTCCCCTTCCTCCCTGTGGCTCTGTGTGTGTCCCCTGAAGCCATGTGTTCCATCGAGGAGGAGGGCCACTCCCGACAGGAGAAGGCTGGGATCCCGGTAAGAATGAACTGCTGAGCTCCCTGAAGAACCGAAAACACAAGATCCGCAGGGTAGCTGGCCCTGGGGGAAGGGCAGCCACAGCCCGGGGTCATTTCTCAGTACCCAGGCGGGTCATTTCATGGCGTGTCCCCCTCACATCCGTGACGAGGTCAACCAGCAGCTACACTCCAGCCCAGAGCTGCAGGTCGCTGTTGTCAGTGCAGCTGGGGCCCGTGGGGTGCCACGCTCCGTCCGTGCTGTCAGGTGTGGGGTTGGACAGGTAACCACGGACACACGTCCCCCACATGCCATGCGGGACTCTGAGCCACTGAGGCACGGACGACAGACAGACACTGCACAGCAGGGAAAGATGTCTTGGCTCTGGGGGACACCGCGGGTTTTCTGGAATGGCTGTGCCCATTTACATTCCCACCAGCAGCCTGGGAAAGTCGCTGCTCCTCAGCGCTTGCCCGCGTTGATGACTGTGTGGGGCAGGGCTGACAGCAGACTCCAGTTTCCTCGGCCTTCCAAACAGGACTGAAGACTAGTGTCTCTCCAGGAAAGCTCCAGGCCTTCAGCACCAGATGAGGACTGCTGAGGCCTCCAGCCTTGGGCATAACAAGCTGCCAGGCTCTTAGGGTCTCCAGAGTGCAGCCACCCACTCTGAGGAGGCCAGCCCGTTACACAGTGTGCACACCCACTCTGAGGAGACCCATTTCACCAGTGCTAACATAACGCAGCTCATCAATGTCCCTATACTGACTGAGCCTTCACCATCATTTTAGCAGACGAATTACACCAGGCGGAAGCCACGACCAGAAATTCATAGTTCATGAATCCCCTTGGAACCTTCTCTCTCGTTCAGAATCAAATCCTGAGCCCCAGGAAGACCCCACAACAAGTCTCCACAGTGTGCCCTGGACACCTCACTGGCTTGGCCTCCCACCACTCCCACAGCCAGCTTCAGGTATGCTCACATCTCGGTGGCCGCTCACCCTGTGGGGAACGTCCACTCCTTCACATCCCTCAGCCTGTCACCAGGTAATCCACGCCTGCAGGAAGTCGTCTTGCCTATGCCATCCTCTTACAGCTCCAACACCACAGCCCGGCTCCAGCCTCCAAATGTTCCACCAACCCCATTAGCAGGTGACACAGAAGAGAGCCATCGGCTCACCTAGAGCTGGCGCGGTGACACAGTGGTGGCACTCTCCGTGCAGGCCTGGAGTCCATGTGTGACTACACAGAAACCCCTCCTTTTCCCTTTTGCAGTTGTTTGAGGCAGGGTCTCGCTGCAGCCTGGCTGAGCTGGAACTCCTATGTAGACCAGGTCTGCCTCTACTAGGATTAAAGGCGTGCACCACCACACCTGCCAAAACCCGTTCTAACACCAGCCCTTGCCTAGCAAGCATGGGCCTTAGACGAGATCTCCAGCACTAAAAAAGGTGGGGTGGCAACCAGAAATGTCCTGGGTACACCAAGAACTTCAAACGCTGGGCTCACCTGACGGACAGCTGTCCCGGGACAAGGGGGAGAATGTTAAATTCAGGGCAAGAACCCGGAAGAAAATGACTTTGATGTGAGCTATGATTTAAACCAGCCGGGCGCCTCTGCTGCTTCCAACCAGAGGTCAAATTCTGCGAGCACCTGAACTGAGTTAGAGCCCAGGGCTGGGAGGGCCCCAAGGTCTGTGTCTTACAACAACCGCAATTCCTCGAATTAAAATTAAATGGAGGCCAATGACAGTGTGCGCTCTAAACTACCAAATCAAAGACGATCCTTCCCGCCATACACAACGTGTCAGTAATGAGACATCACCTCGATAACGGGAACGTTTTCCTGAAGTTCTGTCGTGTGCAAGGCCAGCAAGCCAATCACTCGAGCAACCTTGGACCGTCTGGAGAGAGAGAGGGAAGTGCAGTCAGGCACCAGACAATCACCACGCTGGCCACCACGCATGATGCCCTGCGTTAGCCGTGAGACGGTGAGGTGGGGCTGGCAAGAGGGCTCCGCGCTAAAGGAGCGTGCCACCAAGCCTGGTGACCTGAGCTCAGTGCTGGTGCCCACACGGCAAAGAGAGAACCAACTCCTGAAGGCTGTCCTCTGGTCTCCATGCGTGCACTGGAGCATGCCCACGCCTACTCACAGTACAAACACTTTGGCAGGTCAGGCCCATGGTCCAGGGAACCCCCTTATCACATGCGTAGGGAGTGTGAATCGCAGTGTCCAAGTTTAGACGTTTGTGGCTGACAAACGTACACAAGTCTATGAATGTTTTCCTAATTTGCTTAATTTCCTCCTTTATTTTTATTTTGTATGTGTTTGTGTTTTTGCCATGCGCATGCAGTGCCCGTGGGGGCCAGGAGGGGGCGTGTGATCCCAGGAACTGCAGCTGCAGATGACCCTGCCCTCTGTGACAACTGCTGCAGCACCCTCCGGCCTCTCTTCTAAGTTAATAAACTGCTTTTAACGAGGTGACCTGTGGTGTCACACAGAAGAAGACACTGATAGAGTACTAAGCAGTGCTCCACAGCGGTTTGAAAGAAGCAATGTAGGAAAGTCATGTTGATTAAAAAAAATTTCACTGGGGGAAGAAAAGGCACAGAAGGGGGAGGGGGACTTGTTGGGGGAGGGGCTTAGTGGGAAGCAGGGGTGTGAGAAAGGACAACGGGGAGATCGCGATCCAAGGGCATTGCATGCGTGTGAAACTGCGGAAGAAAAACAGGGTTTTAAAACCTTTTTCTCATTGAAAACGAACATGGCGAGGAGTTAAGATCCACGCTCTCGCTGCTCCTTGATTTCTTAGAAAAAGCTTCACAGGCCTCTCTTGAGGGAACAATTTAGGCTCAGAAGTGTGGCCTGGGCAGCGTGTGCCCTCCCCCCACAGCAGAGCCGGCCCCGACAGGCTTCAGCTCTTGCTGGTTCCTTGAGATGGGGGGGTCTTACTATGCGACTCCCAGGATGGCCTTGAACTCCTGGTTCTCCTGCCCCAGCTTCCTGGGGAGAGAGGGCAGTGCTGCCATGCCTGGCCACTTCTGTGTCTTGTGCACCAAATACCAGAAACTTTAAACCACAGGCAAGGAAGTGCCATAGATGAAAACACACAAGAAATCCCCCCTTCTTGATGAGGGTTGACGAGACACAGACCCCTCAGCAGTCTACGGGCATGAAATAAAGATTCGTCGTTGGAAGACTGGGAGTAGAGCAGAGACCCTATGTGACCCAGAGAGATGAGCGGACACGGCTGACAGGAGGTGAGAAGGAACCCCTCCTGAGAGCCACTGGGGAGAGCAGCCTTCCCGGAAAACAGGAGACACCTCCACAGCAAGAGATCTGTCCTGGGGAGGACACAGGGCAGATGTGGGGAGCCATGTCTGCCGTATCTGAGGACCCGAGTTCAAATCACCAACACGCATGTAAAAAGCCAGATGCAGTGATGGGCACACCTGTACCCCGGCGCTGTCGGGGCAGAGGCGGGAGGATGGGAGACGGTCTCAAGTGGTCAATAGTATTAACAACACGTGTTGTGGGGAGAACAGACACAAAATTACAACACGCCTCACTAGGTTTGTGTTCCTAGATGCAGGACAAACTTAGAAAACTCGGGGGGTGGGGGGATGGAAAAACTACAAGCAGCATTTGAAAGAAAACAAGAAGGCCCAGTCCAGAGCCACCCACAGTCCACTGACTGCTTCACCCAATCAAAACTTCCGTGGCTGGGCAGAGTGGCACACCACCTCCAGCCAGCACTCAGGAAGGCATAAAGCTAGGAGTTCGAGGCCAGCCTGGGCTATACCTCAAAAAAAAAAAAAAAAAAAACCACCACTTTTTTTTAAATGAAGTTCAACTTAGATAGTAAAAAAGGTTTTTAAACAGCGCCTGAAAAACAATAGAAGCACCTTTAGGTCAGCAGGGGGCGCTCCAGACCAGGAAAAAAAAACACCCACCAAACAGCAGCAGTTTCCACATTTGCAAAATGCTCAGCTGTTACCTAGAGGCTGAGATGCAAGAAAAAAATTCCCTCCAAAGCCTTTTGCAACTCCCATGGTTTCCGGAGTATTTTACCAGCCAAATTGTCATCACACCCCTGCCAGCCACAGAGTCTCCACGATGACAGTGACCAGATAATCACAACACTCCCCAGCGTGGACCAGACTCAGACCCAGCAGCTCCGACTCCTCAGGGTCTACTGAGGAGATGGCACAACCACCACCGTGAGTGAGATTTGCCCAGGGGCAGATCTGGGGTCCCAATCCCCATCCCCCACCCCCAATCCCCATCACCCCCATTCCCCACCCCACCCCCCACCCCACCCCCCACCCCACCCCACCCCCCGCAGTAACTCAGGAAGTGAAGACTCAGCAAACAGTCCCATCATGTGATCAAGTCCACCAGCAAGGACAGCCAGAGCCTGCAGCACCCAAGGAGTGAGCACACTGGAGGACAGTCCCTATCGGTTGCCATGGCATCATGGGGAAGCTCCTGCCCCGGGAAAGAAAGGCAGAGATGACAGAGACACACAACCCGAAAGGCGGGGACATTCTCATGACGGTCACTCAGAAGAGGGACGGCCTCTAAGGCAGGGTGCGCAACTCCAGCTTGGGAAAACAAGACAACGGCTACTTTCACAACTGCTCACGCTCGTCTCGAGTGACTCGTGGTCGCCGCAGTTTCACTGAGGATGACCGAGGACTGCGCTCACGCTGACGTGTCCGGCAACAACTATAAACCCCAAGCACGTGTTTTAAAGTGTGAATGCTACTTACATGTCCCAGTTGGGAGCTATTCGCAGGTGCTGGATTAGCAACTGGAACTGGAGTTTAAAAAAGAAAAACATCACAATGTAAGTTTTATTCAGGAGGGCATCCAAAACAATGTCGAAATTAACAGGGAAATTTACACAGCTGAGAAGACAGCTGTCCCAGGGAGGTAATCACAGATGACAGACATTCAAACACAGCTAGGAGCCAGCAAGATGAACATAAACAAAAATTAAGAACAGGGTAGCTCGGCAATTAGGAGCATGCACTCTGCAGAGAACCCAGGTTCAGTTCCCAGCACCCACACTGCGGCTCACAACACCTGTAACTCCAGCTCTGGGGATCTCACACCTTCTTCTGGCCTCCAAGAGTACCTGGTGTGTAAACGCGCGTATATGCGCGCACACACACTCACACACAGGAATAAAAAGTAAAAGAACAAGATTGTGATTTGTCCTAACACTTAATATTCCCTAATATTTGGCTCCCCATCCCCAACGGACACCTACAAGCAACTGTCATACTGACTTAGGAGCAAAACAAACTGAAACTCCTTCAGGTTGACTTTGGGGACCAATAGAGAGCATCACCGTTGTCGTTCCTTCCAGAGGGTGGCATGAGGAACCCTGCAATCCCCAGGGGTTACCAACGAGGCCCACCAAGGAGTCAGCTCCCAGGAGAACAGAAAGCAAAGGCCCTTGGGCTTAATGTCCTTTTACACATCAGAAACCCACTGACTATCCAGGTGATAGACAGGAGCCCAGGCCACCAGGGCTCGCAGCAGTATGGCGTCCACCTCCTGGTTACAGACAGGTACAGCAGCTCCCAATCAACACATAGCAAAAATGGAGAGCTGAGCATTGCAAAGGCCACAGCTGGAAATCGCCATCTACACAGCTGCTTCAACGAAGGAGTTGAGGGTAATCCTCATGAACCTGCGATATCAATATATCACCTTCTTTCTTTGTAATCAGATCAAATTATAAGTGTAACCATCTGGACCTGCTAACGTGGGCCTATCATCCCAGCTACCGGGGAGGCTGAGGCAGCAGGGCCTAAGCTCGGGACCCAGCTAGGCCACAGAATGAATTTAGGGCAAACACGGGAAACTTGAACAGTAGCTCAAAAGAAAAGCTAGGAGCAGATGGGGTTCCATGGTAGAGCACTCGCTTTGCCTGTGGAAGGCCCCGGGGGTTCACTCCCAGTCCCACCACATAAACAGTCTGTGGTTTATTGCATTTACTGTCTGTTTCAGTGCCAAGGGCAGAACTCTGTGCTGTGGTCAGGCTAAGGAACCACTGTACTGCTGGGCTGAACGCCGGGCGGGCCCCATCTCCTGGACTAGAGTCCTTGGAACACAGAGGCCAACGGTGGGAGGCGGGGCCCTGGGAGGTGGGCGGGGTCACCCTGCAGCACCTACCAGTGGGGAATGCAGCAGCCTGGTGGCCACCTCCTTGCGAGCGGCCACCACACACAGGTAGCACAGGAGGTTCAGCTTGGCGCGAGACACGCCCGCGCTCTTCTCGCTGGAGTCCATCTGGGAGCACACCTGCTCCAGGAAGTCATTCCAGTCCTGCTCCTTCAGGACCTGCAGCTTGTCCACTGCAGAAGGAAGCAAGCAGAGGTGGAGCATGCATGATGTGGAAGGGCCAAGCAGACATCGTGTGAGAAGCAGAGCTGGGACTTCAGAGCTGGGATGGGGTGAAACACTGCAGGACAGTGTCAGGGGAAAAGGTGCCAAACCCCACCCATTCTGAGGAGACGAGCCACTTGACCGTCCTTTTCCACCCAGAGAGACTTCTTAGCTGTGCCCGTGAACTGGCACACTAGCAACGGCAATGATAATAACAACAGCATCTTTAGATGTCAGAGAGCCAGGGAGATGGCTGCCCTTGGCAAGCACGAGGGCCAGAGTCCACATAAAAAAGCTGCACTTGTAATCCTGGTACTCGGGCGGTGAAGACAGGAGGTTCCTGGGGCTCACTAGACCAATGAGGGACCTTGTCTCAAAAGACGCGGGCAGCATATGTCTAAGGATCACATATCCTCAGACATACACACCCACACTTGCATATGTGCAACCACACACACACACACATGTCCACACACATCTACACACATGTCCACACACATCTACACACATTTTAGAAGTCTTACTGCAACAAAGCCTGGACTCTAGCCTCTAGCTTTCCACACAAACCAAGGTGAACACGGGAACAGCATCCAAATGCACAGACAGATTCATTTATAAAAATTACAAACGCAGGGCTGGAGAGGTGGCTCAGCGGTTAGGAGCACTGACTGCTCTTCCAGAGGTCCTGGGTTCCGTCTGTGTGGTGGCCTCTTCTCACATACAGGCTCTTAGTTTGTACCCGTATGCGAGCTTGGCCTGTACAAACTTTTATGTTGGTTTCTTTACATCTGCATCTATTCCAGCACCCCAGGAGCCTCCCCACCCGTAAGAGGGCACTGGCCCAGAGGACAGTCAGCAGCTGGCAAAGATAAATTTGCAGTTGACTTCTGTGCAGGATGCAACCCGAAATTGCTGACAAGAAAACAGGTAACGAGTTATTCTTCACACAAACATTCCACTGGCAAGTAAATAAAGTTCGTATTTACATGTGCTTACAAAGCATGCATGATGAGCTGGGTGATCTTACCAGAATATGCCGGCAGGTGCAAGATTTTTGGATCAAACTTGATTGCAGAGTGTTTGATTATCTACGGCAGGAAAAAAAAAACACTGTTGAGAAACCTTCTCAACTCAACAGCTGTCTCTGTATCCACAGATCAACAAGGCTACAAAAAAAAAAAAAAAAAAAACCTTATGAAACTTAACTGTCATCCAAAGGATCCAGGCCAGGTGTGGGGCAAACCCTGTGGCCCCAGCCCCACTGGCAGGAGGGCAAATGAGACCTGTCTCAGAGCACCAGCAAGGAAAAAGAATTCAACAGTGCCATGTGAGATTAAAAGACATAAATATAGATTGCTTCTTCCAATTTCAACCAGCATCTTCAGTAAGACAGAAGCTTGTAGAGAGCTCTGCCTGTAGGCTTCCGAGCTCAACTGGCTAATCTGCCCCTCAGTGGAAATCAAGGCATCGGGCTGGAGAGACGGCTCAGCAGTGAAGAGCAGTGCCTGACCTTCCAGAGGTCATGGGTTCAATTCCCAGCAACCACACAGTGGCTCACAACCATCTCTAACGGTACCTGTCGCCCTCTTCTGGCGTAAAGGTGTACATGCAGACAGCACTCGTGCATAAAATAAACAGATACTAAAGGAAATCAAGGCACCTGAAAAGTATCTGCTGCACTAAGGAAGTGCAAGGTCATAAAACACATGACCTCACTATCAGAGAGCTGAAGCCCTAAACGGGAAAACAGGGCAAATCACCTGTTAAACAATAAAATCCTTAATATCTAACAGTTCAAAGCAGGACAAAACTATAGACAGATACTTCATAGAGAGAAATTTCTCTCTCTCTTTTTTTTTTTTTTTTTTTTTTTTTGGTTTTTCGAGACAGGGTTTCCTTGTGTAGCCCTGGCTGTCCTGGAACTCGCTCTATAGACCAGGCTGGTCTCGAACTCACAGAGATCTGCCTGCCTCTGCCTCCCAAGTGCTGAGATTAAAGGTGTGCACCACCAACACCCAGTGAGAAATTTCTTTAAAACAAGAAAGAAGCAAGTGGGTAGGCTGATGTGTTGCGGACGGGGTCAGAAGGAGGGGTGGAAACCAGACGGAGGGACGAAAGGATTATCAGGACTCAGCTCTTATTGAGAAGGGAAGAGCCAGTCCAGAAGACACTAGCACATGAATGGTTTCTCACACACTTCCTTTGAGAAATGGGGTGGTGAAGAAACCAGCGGCTGACTATGGATGAGTGGGCCCTACGCCTTGAGAGGTGATCAAGTCCAGCTTCTGCAGAACTCTGCATTGCTGTCTTAAACCCTCACAGACAGACAGCATTCTTGACAAAAATGATAAAATGACAGTCTTTCTCTAATCTGATGCTGTAATTCATGTTATTACAACCACAAGAAATCCTCAGATAAAGTTTAGCTAAAAACACTCCACAAAACACCTGACCATCAGTCAGCAAAGTGCTATGATCATGACAACCTGGGTGTCACCAGCCGGGACAGAGAGGAACAGACGGGTTGGAGGCAGCACCAGTGAGGCTCAGGCCTGAGCAGACAATGGACAGCAGAGGCACAGTGTGTGGAGTTTCTGGAAGCACTGGGACCATTAACTTGGGCCTGCCAACCCGAGGGCCTCAGATGACTCAGGGAGGCAGGGTAATGACAACCAAGGCCTCCTCGAACCCTGAACCTTCTCCCTGAGTCTAAAATTCATTTTTAAAATATAGTTTTAAATGTTTTACATTGCCGGACGGCGGTGCTGCACGCCTTTAATCCTAGCACTCCGGAGGCAGAGGCAGACGGATCTCTGTGAGTTCGAGGCCAGCCTGCTCTACAAGAGCGAGTTCCAGGACAGCCTCTAAAGCCACAGAGAAACCTTGTCTCAAAAAAACCAAAAGAAAAAAATGTTTTACATTAAAATAGTTTAATGCCAGGCAATGGTGGTGCAAACCTTTAATCCCAGTACTTAGGAGGCAGAGGCATACAGATCTCTGAGTTCTCGGCCAACCTGATCTACAGAGTGAGTTCCAGGACAGCCAGTCTCAAAAGAAAAGAAAAAAAGTAATGTAAAAAACAAATTTCTACTTGCTGACATTTCCCAGAAACCTTAAGTAAGGAAATAAAGAGACAGCAGTGTAATCCCAGGCTGCTCTAGAAAGCCCACTGGGAGAACACGCCATTACCCAGCAGGCCTAGCAGATCCAGTCTCTCTGTCAGAGTCTGACTCATGGAAAGACTCCATTCTGGGAGATGGTCATATAAGGAAAACACTGGTTGTCTAGGAGATAAACACGTTTCCACATGAGAGCAGGGGAAATCACCACAAATTAATGTGAAAGACACTTTCAAACAATGAAGCCGGAAGAATAAAACAGAGCGGGAGGTAGAGGCTGAGTGTGAGGAGCTGAAGTCAAAGCAGACAGACAGACAGACAGACAGACAGACAGACAGACAGGCAATGCTGTGCAGTGAGTCCTTGTGACCCCCAGCAACACACTGTTGTTAGAGGCAGAGAGCACACCTGGAGCTGACCCCAGGCCATGCTGTGTCCCAGGCCATGCTGTGTCCCGGGCCATGCTGTGCGCCGGGCCATGCTGTGTCCCCCTCCTGACTGGACGCCACACAAGAGACTGGGTCTGTGTGGCCTGCCCACTCTCCCCGAGCCAGGGAGCTCTGCTCGGCCACACCCTAGTGACCTGAGCGTCGTGTGGGAGTCACTTCGTAAGCACAACTGGAGAAAAGCGGGACTGAGAGCTGAGGTCTGGGGTCTGGAGGGCGGCGGCGGCCCTCCTCGGCGGCGTGTGACAAGTGTGACAAGTGGGGCAGGGTGGAAAGTCCCCGCTGCAGCAGGGTACGAGCCAGGGAGAGCAGAGAACTACAGAACGTGGGTACGTGGCACACGGGACCAGCAGACAAGGAGACGAGACACAGTGAGGCAGAGAAGGTTCTGACCTCCCCTCCCCCACCCTGCCCACCCGTTCTCTCATCTCTGTGCACCTTGGGGTTGTCGATAATCGGGGTGATCACAAGATCCGAGTCTGTGTAGATCAGCTCTCTCATCTGGGATTCCAGGGCCCCCTGGCTCAGATGCCCACATGTCATCTGGAACAAGAGCAAATGTCACACTTTGATTTCTAATGGAAAATGACAGGACGCCTGTGTCAGTGACTTCCAGTGCCATGGAGACACCATCAGCCTGGATGACCAGCACACAAATCCCAGACCGTGTGCGCTGTTCCCATTTCACCATGAAAAGTCTCAGAAAGCAACTGGCCAGTCACACCACAGCTCCACCACCAACTGCTGAGTCACACCACAGCTCTCACCACCAACTGCTGAGTCACACCACAGCTCTCACCACCAACTGCTGAGTCACACCACAGCTCTCACCACTGCCCCATCCTTCATCCACAAAACACACAACTACTTCTGTCTTACTGAATATTCATGAAATTAAAGTCTAGTATTTTAAATGTTCTGGCTGAAGTGCTAATACCATTATGTATATACTTTGCGTTGTGTCTATAGGACATGCACAGGCACTCACTATGTGTATACACACACACAAACAATAATTAAACAATTAATGGCTATATGCTCTATAGACATGTACATGAAGTGTCCAGAGCAGGAAGACTTGGAAAGACCCCGGAGCAGGGGCAGGGGCAGGGGCAGGAGCAGGGAGTCGTGGAGGAGCTGAGGCTGACAGCAAACTGTTACAGGGCTTCTCCAGAGAGCAATGAAAAAGGTTCTCAGACTTACTGTGATAACACTCACACAGCCTATGAACCCAGGAGAAGCCTACCGAACGTCCACTTTAAATGGTGAACTCAGCATAACCACTGCAGAAAAACAACCTCAAAGCTACTACCGGGGACTTGGTCATAGTCAATGTCATCATCACAGCAGGGTTCACACCTCAACTTCAATTTTTATGAGCTTCTGTAATGTGTCATAAATCCCACGGCTGCTCACCTTGGATAAAGGAGAGGTCTGTGGCGAGCTGGTGTCCTCACCCTCTCCGGGACTTAATCCCACCACGGCACTAGTCCTTGGAGTGGGCCGTGAACTGGAAAACACGACAGCTTTCCATCAAAGGCTGCAGAAGCGAGACCCTCCACTCCCTCTCCTAGCGGGGAGAAAGGCATGAAGGTGGCAGGGTTCCACACCTCTTAGAAAGCCTGACGCCTAATGTGTGTTTAATGACTCTATAATTTTCGTAGCTGCTTCTTTTAAAGAGTGTCATTAACTGTGGGTACACGTGCCACTCACTCGTGCGTGCGGAGGTCGGAGGACCATTCTGCCCTCTGGTCTCTCCTCCCTGACCCAGGTCTCCAGCTGTGCGGCACACACCTTCCCCTGCTGAGCCCCTCGTGAGCCCTATAAGTGCTCTGCTCTGCTGGCGACTTTCTGGGTAGCCAGCTACTCATTTCTAGACTGCATGCTACATATGGTCTTTTCTTTTTGTAATATCTGCTGCATGCCTAATGTTTCGCAAGCATCTGCTAATCAGACTTAATGGCTTGCACGAGGGCACTTTCCTGCATGTGCACACACATCTGTCATTCCCTTGTCGGCCTCCACTCTCCCCTTCGCGTTTTTGAAAATGTGTCTGCCTCCTCAGCGTCCGCTTACATAGGATAACCTCCTGACAGTCCCCGGGGATCTCGTCTCTTCCACCTCCTCCATGCTCAGTCACTAAGTGAGTTTTTAACATAAAATACCAGAGGTTGTAAACACCTGGTTCTAAGAGAGTCAACTTAAAGTGCCTAAAATATATACAAATACGTGTATCATACTTCACACTCAAATAAGCACAGAACAGATCAGTAAGTCAAATGAAGTTAACTCCTCCTGTATAAGGCTGTCTTCTCCTTTTTTGACACTGAGGACTGAACCTCAGACTGTGTGTATTCTGAGCAAGTGCTCTACCAGAAAGACAGAGACCTGCACACCCAGGAAATCTTAAATCTATTGAAGTCATTGGCCCCTGATCACTTACAGAAAAGCTAGGTTGTTGCAGTTGTTGTTGTTTTAATTCTTTCAATGGGTACAAATATTGCTTGTGTCTCACATAAAATACATCTCAGGAAAAACACAATGCACAGGCTACGGTGCCACTCACTAGGAGAGCTTCTGCTTAGCATGTGTGACACCCAGCATGGGTGGAAGAAAGGCAATGGGGAGAGGACGGGAGGGAAAGGGGGGAAGGAGGGGGCTCAGACAAAGAAGGGGAAATACGGCCTCCCCTTTCTATAAAACCCAAATAAGGAAGCCGGACGTTTGAAACTTTAAATTCATTTTTTATCAGAAGACAAAGTTCCAAGAGAAAATATTTTAATATTTACAAGTACAAAAAAAAGGCATTTTTAAAAAATTATATGTATATGTGTGTCTATGCACTTGGGTGCAGTGCCCAAGGAGGCCAGAAGAGGGCATCTGATCCCCTGGAGCTGGAGTCATAGATGGTTGTGAACTGCCCAGTGTGAGTCCTGGAAACTGAACTTGGATCCAATAGGAGAGCATCAAGCACTCTTAACTACTGATCCATCTCTCTAGACCCAAAATAAGCAATTTTTAAAACACATGCAAACCCTGGATTCCACTGGGCAGCAGTTCACAGTGGGCTGAAGGTGGCATGCAGTACAAACAGTCTCCCCCAGAACAGGGCTTGTCTTCAGGCCTCGCTCCTCACAGCAGGGTTTTACATACCTGAGGAGAAATATGGATTCATTCAGCTGGCCCCCTGTGGTACTCTTGGGCCTCAGCTCAGTCGGGGTGTCTGTGGTAGAAGAGCCATGTGTTATCCAGAAGGGCTGGAAATCACCATGAACAGAGCGTAACACACAGAGACATGAAAAGGGGTTGGGGTTCCGCATGGGCCACAGCCCAGGAGCTGCCCAATCCAAGCCTTACCTAGCCGGAAAGACTGGCTGAGTCGGTGAGCTCCCTTCTGCCCTTTCCCTTGTCCATTCTGAGGGCTCTGCAAAAGCTCCCTGGAATCATGCAGTCCAGAACATTCCATAACATTTCTGCTGCTTGACAGAAGAAATCAGGACAAATTCAGTTCAGACTGCCTGTGGTTTTGCAACCAGCACGGAAGGCGTCAGAGCATAATTGCACTGTGTGTCTTATCCTACACTGTCACAGAACGGGGCAAGGACAGCGTTCTACCGGGCAGCTACAGCGAGCCCTTTCTAGGCGTGAGGCATCTAGACCTAGAGGTCTAAAAACCCCTTCTCTGACAGACAGACACCGGAGCCTGGAGACCCTTCCTGCTCCTTGGCCTGGGGTCAAAGTCAACAAGCCATGGAAACTAGCTGTAAGAGAAGCTGGTTTGCTGCGGGATGCTCCTTCTGTACACGGTGAATATGCATTGCTCTCATTGGTTAATAAAGAAGCTGATTGGCCGACAGCTGAACAAGATGAGGTTAGGTGGGAGAGCCGAACTGAGGATGCTGGGAGGAAGAAGGGAAGAGTCAGAGGAGCCAGCAGCAGCCACAGGGAGAGGCAAGATGGGCGTGCCCTACTGAGAAGAGTACCAAGTCACGTGGCAAAGCATAGGTAAGGAATATGGGTTGACCTAAAATGTAAGAGCTAGTTAGTAATAAGCCTGAGCTATTGGCTGGGCATTTATAATTAATATGTAGTGATATATTATTTATGACTTATTAAAGCTTGCCTGAGGATTCAGAAGGCAAAGTCAGCCGCAAATCATAGAAACCAGGCAGCCAGAGTTAGGAAGTGGTGGTACACACCTTTAACCTTAGAATTCAGGATTAAGAGGTAGACAGATCTCTCTGAGTTCAAGGCCACCCAGGGATACATGAGATTGTAGGGACAGGATCAGCCCATTCAGCATGAGGTAGAGGTAAGAAGCTAGTGGCCAGCTGCTTTGCTTTTCTGAGCCAGCCTGAAGTTTGAACACCAATATCAGTCTCTGGATTTTTTATTTATTCATGTTACATTAATCTGAGCCTCAGTGTTTTTATTTGGGAGCTGCTGGTGGGACAGAAACTTCTTCCTACACTGGTCCATCAGTGTCCGAAGGCTGAAGAGGGCAGAGAAATCCCCGAGTTTTCTCAAGTTGACTTTGTCCCTCCCTGTTCACCCTGCTACCAGGTAACCCTGAAACCACCACTTGGGGACAGCAGTAGCTACTGGCCACTGCCTGACGCTCTGAAAGAGGGATCCTTACTCTGGCAGAAAGCGAGGATTCCAGGAACACCAGCCACATGCCCCAATCCCCAGCCATCGCTCCCTGCCCTTCCACCGTTCCAAAGGAATCCAGAAAGACACCCAAACCATCACCCATCCCAGGGGGTCAGAATATCAGGATGGCTCCATGTTTAAAGACCGACTACCCTAATCTCTCACGGCAACTGCAGGGCGGGAGAGTATGACCATTTCATCCCACTTGGCATTCTCTCAGACTGAAAGATGGCGGCCCCACAAACCCCCATCCCCCATCGCAAACCAAACAAGCAAAGACTGAGTGTCTTCAGCCCAGATTCCAAGGAAGGAGGTCAGCTTCCACCGCTGTCAACACACTCGTGTCGCTGGAAGTCCTCACGGGAGTGGTACAGCAGAAAAACAAACAAGACACACAGACCAAAGAGGGGGAAAGGCTGCCATGCAGCAGCAAATGGAAACATTTTCATTCCTCAGTTATAGTACAGGGAAATGTCAACAGAGGGGTCTTAGTTAGTCACAATTCCTCAGTTACAGTATAGGGAAATTTCAACAGAGGGGTCTTAGTTAGTCACAATTCCTCAGTTATAGTACAGGGAAATGTCAACAGAGGGGTCTTAGTTAGTCACAATTCCTCAGTTACAGTATAGGGAAATTTCAACAGAGGGGTCTTAGTTAGTCACACTTCCTCAGTTATAGTACAGGGAAATGTCAACAGAGGGGTCTTAGTTAGTCACAATTCCTCAGTTACAATACAGGGAAATGTCAACAGAGGGGTCTTAGGTTAGTCACAATTCCTTAGTTACAATATAGGGAAATGTCAACAGAGGGGTCTTAAGTTGTCACAATCAATACCTTTTATGACCCTTTAGGTGTTTGTGTGTGTGTTACCAGCATTTATACCCTACAGCAGTGGTGGGACAGCATAGCAGGTGTGTTCTCTCTACCTCTCTCTCTTCCCGCCCCATCCCTCCTTCTCCTCTCCCCACTTTTTCTCCCCCACTAAACACACACACGTGCACGCACACACGCACACATACACACACGCACACGCACACATGCTCGCACGCACACCTTGGAGATGAAGAACTAAAGGTCAGAGGTGTCCTGGCTATACACATGCACGCACGCGCACACACACACACACACGTGCACGCGCACACACACACGTGCACGCACACACCTTGGAGATGAAGAACTAAAGGTCAGAGGTGTCCTGGCTTGTTGACACCAGGAGACAAGGCCCAGGGTCCAGTTGGCTGACACCACCTTGGTTTCTCTAAGTGACGCTGACCCAGAAGGTGGAGCTCCAGCCCGACGCTGAAGGTCCCCAGAGCAGAGGACAATGGTGAGAACGAGACTGTAACACACTGGGTACAGACACCCATGATTAACAAACTCCAGCCTCTCCATACAACAATCAGCAGTCACTCACCAGTGAGCAAACGGGGGGGGGGGGGGGAGGGGGGACCGGCATGGGGCGTGTCATCAGCAGACAGGCCCAGTGTCTGACCCTGAGAGATTTTATGATGACAAGGAAGCGCCTGGGCAGGGCACCCTAGGTGACCACCACACCCTCAGGGCTTTGAACCAGAAGCCATGTCACCCACGCTTCACAAGCGCACCTCACTGAACGACAGCCTGCCTCGTGCTCAGAAGGTGGGCACCAGGGACACTGAGCAAACCAGACTGTGACTGCCACATTAGACCCCTGACTGCATTTTTTAAAAAAAAGGTCAGCCAGTGCAGGTGAATCTCTGAGTTCGAGGCCAGCCTAGTATACAGAACAAGTTCTAGGGCAGTCTCCAAAGCTACAGAGAAACCCTGTCTCGAAAACAAAAACAAACAAAACAAATCAGAAAATGAACAGAATGAGACTGAAACATCGTGACTAACCCTGCCCTGATGAACCCTTAATTAAGCAAATGTTAGGTGCCATCGGCCAGAGGGCAGCGTGGCAGTCCAGGTGGAGCATCGGGCCTGAGGGGCCCTGGGGCAGGGTACACTACCTGAAGCTGCAGTCCTCAGAGGCCACGGCCAAGTCTTCTCTCCGCAGGGTGCCCTTCCAGAAGGGGTGCTGCAGGACGCCCTCCCATGACAACCTTTGGGAGATACAGGGGGAGACACAGGGCACAGCTCGTTAGGGGACTCCAGGTGTGACCCCAAGCGAGGTATCAGATCCCACCATTCATCAATGTCGCTCTCTCAGGGTGACATTTCTCTCCCTCAGCAAAGGAAAGAAGTCAGAAACCTAGCAGCTGTAGAACGAAACTAGGAATTTGGAGTTTCAGGTTCACAACCCTCACAATCCACTAAGTCTAACAAAAATGCCCTTGGGTTTTCTAACTAGTGTAGGAAGGGACTCTATAGGCAATTTGGAATTTTAAAGTAGATCATTAATTATCAAACTACAGTCGTCTCCCCCTTCGTCTTACTAAGTGAGGGAGATTGCTTCAGTTGGTTGAGTGGCTGGAATGTGAGCTGTCCCCCTGAAATCCACGTGTGCACACTCATCCCCTGCTGGTGTGCACACTCATCCCCCTGAAATCCACGTGTGCACACTCATCCCCCGCTGCTGTGCACACTCATCCCCCTGAAATCCACGTGTGCACACTCATCCCCCGCTGCTGTGCACACTCATCCCCCGCTGCTGTGCACACTCATCCCCCGCTGCTGTGCACACTCATCCCCCGCTGCTGTGCACACTCATCCCCCGCTGCTGTGCACACTCAACCCCCGCTGGTGTGCACACTCATCCCCCGCTGGCGTGCACACTCATCCCCCGCTGGCGTGCACACTCATCCCCCGCTGCTGTGCACACTCATCCCCCGCTGCTGTGCACACTCAACCCCCGCTGGCGTGCACACTCATCCCCTGCTGGCGTGCACACTCATCCCCTGCTGGCGTGCACACTCATCCCCTGCTGGCGTGCACACTCATCCCCCGCTGGTGTGCACACTCATCCCCCGCTGCTATGCACACTCATCCCTTGCTGCTGTGCACACTTATCCCCGCTGGCGTGCACACTCATCCCCGCTGGCGTGCACACTTATCCCCGCTGGTGTGCACACTCATCCCCTGCTGGCGTGCACACTCATCCCCCGCTGCTATGCACACTCATCCCTTGCTGCTGTGCACACTCATCCCCACTGGCATGCACACTCATCCCCTGCTGGCGTGCACACTCATCCCCTGCTGGTGTGCACACTCATCCCCCGCTGCTATGCACACTCATCCCTTGCTGCTGTGCACACTCATCCCCGCTGGCGTGCACACTCATCCCCGCTGGCGTGCACACTCATCCCCGCTGGCGTGCACACTCATCCCCGCTGCTGTGCACACTCATCCCCGCTGCTGTGCACACTCATCCCCGCTGCTGTGCACACTCATCCCCGCTTGTGTGCACACTCATCCCCCACTGCTGTGCACACTCATCCCCCGCTGGCGTGCACACTCATCCCCCGCCGGCGTGCACACTCATCCCCCGCCGGCGTGCACACTCATCCCCTGCCGGCGTGCACACTCATCCCCCGCCGGCGTGCACACTCATCCCCCGCCGGCGTGCACACTCATCCCCTGCTGGCGTGCACACTCATCCCCTGCTGGTGTGCACACTCATCCCCCGCTGCTATGCACACTCATCCCTTGCTGCTGTGCACACTTATCCCCGCTGGCGTGCACACTCATCCCCTGCTGGCGTGCACACTCATCCCCTGCTGGCGTGCACACTCATCCCCCGCCGGCGTGCACACTCATCCCCCGCCGGCGTGCACACTCATCCCCTGCTGGTGTGCACACTCATCCCCCGCTGCTATGCACACTCATCCCTTGCTGCTGTGCACACTTATCCCTGCTGGCGTGCACACTCATCCCCCGCCGGCGTGCACACTCATCCCCTGCCGGCGTGCACACTCATCCCCCGCTGCTATGCACACTCATCCCCCGCTGCTGTGCACACTCATCCCTTGCTGCTGTGCACACTTATCCCCGCTGGCGTGCACACTCATCCCCCGCTGGCGTGCACACTCATCCCCCGCTGGCGTGCACACTCATCCCCCGCCGGCGTGCACACTCATCCCCCGCCGGCGTGCACACTCATCCCCTGCCGGCGTGCACACTCATCCCCTGCTGGCGTGCACACTCATCCCCTGCTGGCCTGCACACTCATCCCCTGCTGGCGTGCACACTCATCCCCTGCTAGCGTGCACACTCATCCCCTGCTGGCGTGCAAACTCATCCCCTGCTGGCGTGCACACGCATCCCCTGCTGATGGTTGTTCAGGGAGCTCTGGAGCCTTCAGGAGGAGGGGTCTAGCTGGCAGGAAGTGGGCCGTGCAGATTGGTGGACAGGCCTAGACATTTCATAACCTGGCCCCACTCCGTGTCTGCCCTCTGCTCCCTGGCTGGGGACGCGATGTGACCAGCTGCCTCATGCTCTGGCTGCTGTCCCCACCCCACCATGAAAGCCTCGGTCCCTTCAATCAGCCTGTCTCCTTTACCTACTCTTCCAGGCTTCTGTCACTGTGGCAAGAAGCAACGTATGGAGCAGAGAACATTACTGTACAAGTGTGCACACCACACTGGAGGAGCAGAGAACATTACTGTACAAGTGTGCACACCACACTGGAGGACAGAGAACATTACTATACAAGTGTGCACACTGGAGGAGCAGAGAACATTACTATACAAGTGTGCACACCACACTGGAGGAGCAAAGAACATTACTATACAAGTGTGCACACTGGAGGACAGAGAACATTACTATACAAGTGTGCACACTGGAGGACAGAGAACATTACTATACAAGTGTGCACACTGGAGGACAGAGAACATTACTATACAAGTGTGCACACTGGAGGAGCAGAGAACATTACTGTACAAGTGTGCACACCGGAGGAGCAGAGAACATTACTGTACAAGTGTGCACACCGCACTGGAGGAGCAGAGAACATTACTATACAAGTGTGCACACTGGAGGACAGAGAACATTACTATACAAGTGTGCACACTGGAGGACAGAGAACATTACTATACAAGTGTGCACACTGGAGGACAGAGAACATTACTGTACAAGTGTGCACACTGGAGGACAGAGAACATTATTATACAAGTGTGCACACTGGAGGACAGAGAACATTACTATACAAGTGTGCACACGGGAGGACAGAGAACATTACTATACAAGTGTGCACACCACACTGGAGGACAGAGAACATTACTATACAAGTGTGCACACTGGAGGAACAGAGAACATTACTGTACAAGTGTGCACACTGGAGGACAGAGAACATTACTATACAAGTGTGCACACTGGAGGAACAGAGAACATTACTATACAAGTGTGCACACCGCACTGGAGGAGCAGAGAACATTACTATACAAGTGTGCACACTGGAGGAACAGAGAACATTACTGTACAAGTGTGCACACTGGAGGACAGAGAACATTACTATACAAGTGTGCACACTGGAGGAACAGAGAACATTACTATACAAGTGTGCACACCACACTGGAGGACAGAGAACATTACTGTACAAGTGTGCACACTGGAGGACAGAGAACATTACTGTACAAGTGTGCACACTGGAGGACAGAGAACATTACTGTACAAGTGTGCACACTGGAGGACAGAGAACATTACTATACAAGTGTGCACACTGGAGGAACAGAGAACATTACTGTACAAGTGTGCACACGGGAGGACAGAGAACATTACTGTACAAGTGTGCACACTGGAGGACAGAGAACATTACTGTACAAGTGTGCACACTGGAGGACAGAGAACATTACTGTACAAGTGTGCACACTGGAGGACAGAGAACACTACTATACAAGTGTGCACACTGGAGGAGCAGAGAACATTACTATACAAGTGTGCACACTGGAGGACAGAGAACATTACTGTACAAGTGTGCACACTGGAGGACAGAGAACATTACTATACAAGTGTGCACACTGGAGGACAGAGAACATTACTGTACAAGTGTGCACACTGGAGGACAGAGAACATTACTATACAAGTGTGCACACTGGAGGACAGAGAACATTACTATACAAGTGTGAACATCACACTGGAGGAACAGAGAACATTACTATACAAGTGTGCACGCCGCCTGGAGGGAACAGAGCTCAGTGGAAGGACTCTCCTCCAACGTCCAAAGTTTATAGTGAGGAAAAAAGGAGCCTGAGGAGGAGGAAGTGGAGGCAGAGGAACAGGATGTGGAGGGAGAGGGAGGGGGAGGTGCAGGTGGCGTTGATCTGTGATCACAGTGCAAGAACCTGGGGAGGGACCAACCTGAGCCACACACAGAAACCCTCATAGGGAGGGAGGGAGGGAGGGAGGGGGGAGGGAGGGAGAGAAGGAGGGAGGGAGGGAGGGAGGGAGGGAAGGAGGGAGGGAGGGAAGGAGGGAGGGAGGGAAGGAGGGAAGGAGGGAGGGAGGGAAGGAGGGAGGGAGGGAAGGAGGGGAGGAGGGAGGGAGGGAAGGAGGGAAGGAGGGAGGGATATTTACAGCCATGTAAAGGAAAGCTGGTCTCTGCTCCTCACACACAAAACACTCTCCGTACCTTTTCTGAGGATCCTTCTGCAGTAACCCATGCAGCAAATTAATGAAATCTGAGGATGCTTTGGGGAAAGCAGGATCTGTGAACAGATGATTGAGAGAAGCTGTAAAACCGACCTCATGTTACTGCCCATCAGCAACGTGTAAAGCAACAGCGCTTAACCCTTCAGACTGTTTAGCCGACAGCACTGAACCCATGAACACGGTACATCAGGAGTCACAGAGGACCGGTGTGCAGAGCAGAGACACAGCCTGTAACCGGGAACCCACACATGCGCATCTCCAAGACTCACATTCCCTTCCCTGAAATAATGGCACTAAGGGTGCCAGAGAGAGAGCCTCCTAGCAGGTGGTTACCTGGACCTGACTCTGAATCTTTGCCTTTAATTCACCGTGACTCTGATCCTGGAAACCCCTCCTTTCTTTGGAAATTGTTCAACAGAGAAGTAATGAGCTGGGTGTTGGTGGCGCACGCCTTTGATCCCAGCACTCGGGAGGCAGAGGCAGGTGGATCTCTGTGAGCTCGAGGGCAGCCTGGTCTACAAGAGTGAGTTCCAGGACAGCTTCCAAAGCCACAGAGAAACCCTGTCTTGAAAAACCAAAAAAAAAGAAAGAAAGAAAGAAAAGGAATAATGAGCACTGTGACACGGCAGAACTGCCCCCATCCTGCGGATCTCACAGGCGGGCATGTGACTGGAGGAAGTGGCCAGGACATTATGACCCAACAACAGCTGGGTACCTACAGAATGCTGGGCACCATGGCCAGTCTAAGGACAAGCCCTGTGCCATGAACCAGCAGCTGTTCGGAAGTATTTGGGTTCACCAGTAAGAAAACTTAGAAATGCCCCATTTCTTCCTACTAAGAAGCAACCCTAAAATAGTCACACAGGGCAGAAACACACACACACACACACACACACACACACACACACACCTTTGACTCTTTAAACAGACTTCTTGTGCTAACTTGTGTTTTTAAACAAGGGGCTCTGTTAGTATGGCTTGGTTTTTCTCTTTCCATATGGAAAATAGAGGAGAAAAATGTACTCATCTGAAGCTGCGATCACGAACAGCCTTGATGGCTGTGATTGGTGAAAACAGCCTAGGTGAAGGTGAACTTCCGGTCAAGGAAGATGACTCGCTGTGCTCACCTACCCTTTGGGACCGGCGGCAACGGGTCTTCATACAGGATCTTCTGAACCAGTTCTGACACAGTTTCAGAGAAGAACGGGGCTCTGCCTGAAATCACACGAGCCTGTACCATCAGTGTGCCAACACACTAACCCCAACCGTAGATACAGGCCTACCAGGGGATTCACACCATTGTAACACAGAGTCGCACGACGCGTCGGGAAGGGCAAGGCCTGACTAGTGCACCTGGCCACGTACTTCCGTCTTCCTCAAATTAACTTTCCAAATCTATGCTCAAGTTCACACATGGCAAGCACTGTGATCAGTGGTCTCCTCAGCCCCTCAATACGTCTGCTCACAGGCCAGTCAGACTTTCCACTGATATTCTCCAGTGGTCAGGCACACTTCAACACTGCAGATAGTTACACAGAGTCAGGACATGCCCAAGAACTTCCTAAGACTAGCATCAAGCAATTAAGTTACAACTGTTGACACAGAAATTGTCTAAAACCAGCTTTGTAATAGCTTCAAGGTGAGGCCCTGGCACTCGCACACTAAGCTCACAGCTTGCCCTGGGTGGTAGTTTTGATTTTATGATGAACCAAACACAAACCTGAGAACATCTCGTAAAGCAGACAGCCCAAAGACCAGAGGTCACTGGGGACAGAAAAGTCGGTTCCCTTCAGGATTTCAGGTGCTGCATACATCAGGGAGCCTGAGAACCAAAGACAAGGACAGCTGGGTCGGGCAACTGAATCATTTCCAGCACTTAGAGACACTGACATGGAAGTGTGGCGTGTGCCATAGAGACAGATGGCTGGGAGGCGGCCAGAGGGCTCAGTGGTGAGCGGTACCTGACGCCAAGACTGGCTGATGGCCTGAGGTCAATCCCCCAGACCACACAGCAGGAGAGCAGACTCCTTCAAGTGGTCCTCTGACCTCACTCACTGTGGCACTGACACGCCCACCTACCCACCCATCGGGGTGTGTGTGTGTGTGTGTATATGGGTGTGTGTGGGTGCATGTGTGCGTTGGTGTGTGGGGGTGTGGTATGTGTGGGGTGTGTGTGTGTGTGTGGGTGGGTGGGTGGGTACATGTGTGGTATGTATGGGGTGTGTGTGTATGTAGGTGAATGTGTGGCGTGTGTGTGTGTATATATATATATGTGGGGGGGGTGCATGTGTGCGTTGGTGTGTGGGGGTGTGGTATGTGTATGTGTGGTGTGTGTGTGTATGTATATGTGTGCGTGTGTGTATGTGGGTACATGTGTGGTATGTATGGGGTGTGTGTGTATGTAGGTGAATGTGTGGCGTGTGTGTGTGTGTGTATATATATGTGTGTGTGGGTGCATGTGTGCGTTGGTGTGTGTGGGTGTGGTATGTGTATGTGTGTGCGTGTGTGTATGTGGGTACATGTGTAGTATGTATGGGGTGTGTGTGTATGTAGGTGTATGTGTGGTGTGTGTGGGTGTGGTGGTGCACGTGTATCAAATGCAGGTTAGATGTTGACTTGGCATGTGGTGACCTCAGTCACTCTCCTTGGTTTTGAGGCGGGGTCCCTCACTGAACCTGGAAGTCAATGGTTTGACCAGACTGTCTGCCCAGCCAGCACCCGGGAGCCTCCTGTCTCGGATCTCCTGTACTGGGATTACAGATGTGGGCAGCCACACCTGGCTCTCTTTACATGGGCTTTAGGGGACCAAACTCAGGTCCTCCCGATTATGCAGCAAGCACTTTAGTCCCTGAGCCACCGCAGCCATAAGCAGAGTAACCCTGATGCCGCTGGCACCATCTCACCGTCAAACCCACCTGCCAAGAACGCGCCCCGGGAGATCTGCCTGGCCTGCAAAGTTCAGCCCCTTGACAGGACAGGACAGGGTGGAGCCCACCGAAGGGCCCCTGGCGTGTGCCAGGCATGTTCTGAGAGCTGAGATGGCCCTGCTCTGGTGGGTGGTGCCAAGATGCCTACATTGTCCAAGACCTCCTGCTGCCACACCCACACAATCAGAGCGGGGGGGGGGGGGGGAGCACGTGTGAGCCGCAAGGCCCCGCCTACCTCTGACTCGGCCTTTCATGCTTTTCTTCAGCGCAGTTTCCCCACTGTCTCCGCTTCCTTCTTCCGCTGCTACCAGAGTGAAAAACTCCCCCAGGCTCTCTCCCTCCACCTTCGCCAGGCAGAAATTGCTGAGCTTCAGGGTTCCAGGTCCTTCCAAGAGTATCTACAGAGGTGGGAAAGCATCAGCGTCTGCAGAGACAGGCTGTGAGGGACCTCTCCTGACGGCGCCCAGGGCGTGCGGCCTTCCTGCTCTGTCAGGCTCAGGAGAACGCTGATGTTCCATGCTTTTAAAAAGAAGCCAGTGAACCACAGGAGCTACCCTGAGAGTTGTGGCACTGTCCCCTCCAAAGAGCCAGCCCAACATGACGTGTTAGTAACAGCAGAATCAAAGCTGACGCTGTCCACTCTCGAATGTCCTTTCTCAGACACCATAGGGCCACCAGGGAGCCTTGGGTTGTGGGAAAGATGAGAACGGACAGGTTGCATTGTACAAATAAGGAACGAAGATAAAGATGGCCAGCACTCTGTGACCCCAAGCTCTAAACTCACAAAGTCAAACAACTGTGGATCAAAATAACCGGGTTGGGGATTTTCTGATGGTCACCAGCTATGTGAGGCAACCACACCATTCGGTGTGTAAGCCCCGAGCACTGTGGGGTGTGGGTACTTGACAGGGCTCAAGGCCAATCCCCCAAAACACACAGTGAGTGAATGAGCGTCTAAAACCCACCTGCCAGTGTGTCATTTATTCAAGCAAGGGCATGTAGCATGGGGTTTTAAACTGACGCAACGCAGCTGGTGCTGGCCTGGAAACTTGGGCCCAGGTCACCTCCTACCCACCGCCTAACCCTAGTGGGTGTGGCAACCCCTGGGAATCTTGCTTCTCACAGTGTACAGCAGGGAAGGTGCAGCCCTGCTTTTTCAGCTCTGTGGGGATTCATGGACGTCCCACAGATAAAGAGCAGGGGCTGACTTGAGCTGGCCAGCTCCCTGTGTGATCAGAAGTTGGCTTGTGGATTGTTGAACCAGCCCAGGAAGCTACATCATTTCCAGCCACATCATTCAAGATGACGCTGGACAACTGTAGTGGAGCAGGTGACCCTCTGTTGAGAGCAGTTTACTGTCCCCCTTAACTCCTAGACACTAAAGCTCACTAAAGGTGTCAGCTAAGCCACCACGTTGGCCTCTAACTTCACCATCAGTGTCCTCTGGAGACTTGTTTAAACACAGACTACCATCCAGCATGTCCTAAATCCACAGATCCAAAGTGGGGCAGTGTTTTAATAAAACTCTATTGGCAGAAACAGGAAGCCTGCCCAACTCTCTCCAAACCCTGGCTTACTAGAGCAGCTTACGTTACAAACCATTCGGCAAAGTTTTGCAGTAAACCCTCACCAAATGTCCCCGGGGTTGCAGGCATGAGCTACCAGGCTCAGCTCTAAATGTTATTTCTTTTCTTTTTTTGTTTGTTTTTCGAGACAGGGTTTCTCTGTGTAGCCCTGGCTCTGTAGACCAGGCTGGCCTCGAACTCACAGAGATCCGCCTGCCTCTGCCTCCCGAGTGCTGGGATTAAAGGCATGCGCCACCAATGCCTGGCTGAGGTGGCATTTCTTAATAGGTGAGAATTCTATAAAACTCAAATTTCGGAGTCTATAAATGACACACACCTGCACATTTGCATATTGTCCCTAGATGCTTTCTGTGATACAATGGCAGTTGCGTGACTGCAGGCCTGGGTTAGGGTTGTGAATATTTCAAGCAAGGATTATTATGTGTTCTGCAAGATCTGCACTGAGTTTTCCTTTCAGTCTCTGTGGTTTCGGTTCCCATCCCTTCCTTCTTAGTTTCTTCTTCATATACAGATGGCTGACAAAACAAACCTTCAGCTTTCACTTTTGCGACATAAAGGACAAGAAAACTCAGGCCTGTGGTGCAAGCAGTCCCTAAGAATGGGGCTTACACACCAGTGCAGGGTGACACTGACTTTGAACACACTACAAGTATCACAGAGAAGAAAGCTACAGAGTAAGGAAGTGACTCAGACAAGACCGCACAGAGCTTCCGGAGTCAGCCTGGGGACAACTGCAGAGCTGAGCACGCTCACTGCTCTGGAACACAAGCACAGAGGCTTCTACTCATGGAACACAGTGTTATGAGGACAAAGCGCTGTCTATACAGTCAGGAACAGTGTGTGGTCAAGAACGTCACCGTCAAACCAAGGGCGTGGCCATCACTGAGTACTGAGCTCATCACTCACCGCACGCAAAGCGAGAAGTGAAAAAATCACAGAGATCTGCATCGACTATACATAGACACTGCAGGTCCTTTTATCTATTGAGAAGGCCTTGGGACTGAGACGTGAGGCATTAGGAAGTCAGAACTCAGGCGTTACCTTCCCAGGAGTAAGGTCACAAAAGAGGATGCCAAGCCTGTGGAGATGGTGCAGCCCCATGACCAGGTCCACGCCAAACTCTCTCACAACATCTTCTGGGAGGTTCTGGTCCTGAGCAATCACAGTTTCTAAAGAACCACCTGTGGGAAATGAGCTCGGGGTCAGCCACACCCACCACCCACCATGGCCACCCTCTAGCCACACCCACCACCCATCATGGCCACGCCCTAGCCAGCACCACCTCTGTCTCCACCTCTGGCCTTCCTACCTGTACACAGCTCCAGCACCATCCAGAGGTGATTGCTGGTCTCGTACCATTCGTGGAAAGTCACAATGTTCTTGTGCTTGATGTCGTGGGTGAGACGGACCTACAAGAACGCTCAGCACTCACTGGGCGTCTAAGGGCAACTGGAAGAGCCGTCAGCAAAAGGGTAAACTGAACTCAAAGGCTTCACTTCTGATAATTTAGGAATAAAGGGACCAGACCCTCCCTCGGCCCCCTGCTTTAGTAACCATGACAGGTTACAGAAAAGACACGTAGGCCTCTGACACAAGGAAATTCCAGACCCTCTGGCCTAGGGCCAAAACTGAACACAAAGAAACTCCAGAACCCCCTAGCCTCCTAGATACTTGGTTCCTGGGAACTGTTTGGCCACAAAAGAAACTCCAGGGGAGACCAAAACCTCCCCTGTAGTCTCCAGGATACAGTTCTGAAAACTATTGGTATCTATGTACAACAGGCCACCTGCAAGCAACAAGACAATGCTATAGAAACCACAGAATGTTCCCTCTCAGCACTGACCAATGAAAATAATTGGTATATAGGTATTTTGTGCCAAAATATGACTTTGAGAAATTCTCCTAATTTTTCCCAAATGTCAACCAATCAGAAATCAACTCATACCTACTGATGTGATCCTGTAACTTTTGTCTATAAAACCTAGCAGTAAACAAGGAACTTCACTCCCTCTGGAGGCTGCTGCCACAGCTAGCCAGGCGGGGTCCCTGTCATGGTTGGATGAACAATTAAAACCTTGCTTTTGCAGTTTGGTGGGTCTGTCTTCCTGATGGTCTCTAAGGTTCTTTGCGACTTGGGCACAGCAGTCAGAAGTGGGGGCTCTCAAGGGCGGTCTTGGGGAATGGCTGATGACGTGCCGCTGCCACCTAGAGAAACGTCACACGTGTGCCAGTGCTAACTGCAAAGAGTGACTTATGGCAGATGGGTGACGGTGAGGTCACAACAGCCACTGCAGCGGGAGGAGCCGCCGTGCTCTGTGGCTCTGTAATGGCGCTAAGTCTCAATGGAGGCTGAAAGAGTCCTAACCTGAAGACAAATTCAGGGTTTGCCTCATCACCCCGGAGCACACTCGGGCACGATGTCTACTTTATAATAAACCGTCTCATAGCTCACGTGCACACACGGGTGTTCTGTAGACATGGCGGGATGAGAACAGAAACAAACCACAAGTCTAAAACACCCCCGGATGTTCCCCTCCTATCCATGACTGCACGACCGACTGGGAACTGCGGATCTCACCTCCGCCTGGCCACACAGGACAGACTACCCCAGACCCACTGGCCTCAGCTGTCTGCACTGCCCACCCACCTACAGAGTCCATCCCTCCAGAGGTGCTTTAAGTCCCTGGCAAAATCCCCTGGTGGCTATCCTGACATCTGCTTCACCTATGTTAACAGGACGAGAAGCCTTCGATGGCCCGAGGCAACCCCCTGCCTAGCTGGAAAACATTTCCTTGCCTCCTGTAGACAGCAGCATTGTGTTACTAAAAATCACTGGCCAGGCTGTACTGGCGCACACCTTTAATCCCAGCACTCTGGAGGCAGAGGCAGGTGGATCTCTGTGAGTTCAAGGCCAGCCTGGTCTACAGAGCGAGTTCCAGGTCAACCAGGGCTACACAGAGAAACCCTGGGGGGGGGGGGGAGGTCACCGGCTGAGATTTCCTAGGAAACTTCCAAAGGGGTTTTATTCAAGATGCCAATCCAATCCCAAGGAGACCTCTCCTCCTCCACTCCCAGCAAACTGCCAGGGCAGGTGACGCTGAAGAGACTCCAGATGGGCCTGGAGCACAGCGCCCGGCAAAGAGGACAGACAAGGGGGAGTGACGGAGGCAGAGAACGGCTTACACGTGCTGGATCTCCCGCACACGGGAGAAAATAAACGCTCTGCCTCGGGCCATGTTACTTCAAGCTCCCGTGCCAGCCTCGGATGCTCACCCAGACAACACCCTCCCTGTTCTTCTTCACACAGAGCAGTGTCTACCTTCTCCCTCCATCTTAAACACCGCAGCTCCAGGGTTTGTCTCCACTGAAGCCTCACCTTGAAGGCCACTGGTCAGTCACCTCTCCACCCAAGTCCTCGGCTACCCCATGGGCTGCACAGCACAGCTGAGTTCTCCCTTCACCCCACATCTCTGTCTTTGACACTCCAGGCCGGGATGCCACAGTCGTCAGCTCTGGACAGCTGCCTCCAGCCTCCACTAGGAAGGCTGCTGGGCCTCAGTTACATCAGTGTGCAACGTGAATCTCCCCCAGCAAATCAGTTAACAGGAGCAGGGTGGAGCCTAGAATACGAGCTCCAAAAACCCAGGGACTGTAGTCGGGCGCCTCGGGGATAGAGAAGCCACTCAAAGTGCAGCTGGTCCTCTGCCTCTCCGTTCCCCCCTGCTGGGCACCGTCTTCTGCTCTCCCCTGCTGGGGGTCCAACCCTCTCTTTACACATTCTTCATGCCGCAATGGAGGAACCCAGATCCCTTCCCCCTCCCCTCACTCTTAGGCTTTCTGCCATTCCCTCAGGCTTTCTCTCTCTCTCAGTAACTGGTGCCTGGCCAAATGCCCAACATAACCATTGCTTCTCTTCCAAGTCTTATATCCTATCAAGGTCCAAAACATCAGTTCCGCTTCTCAAAGGCACCCGGGTGCTCTGTTTACACAACACTAAAACCCACAAGACTAATCTACACTGGGAGAAGGGAGTGTCTGCAAGCGGGGAGGAAAAGGCCTGGAAGGCTGCGGGCGGGCTTCTACAACACTGCCTGTGTCACCTGACTGGACACCACCGAGCAGAACTAACCTACATGGACACGACTCAGAGCAACGGGGTGTGAGCAGCCTGCTCTGCCGCCACAGGCACAGAGCTGGGAGCGGAGAGCATAACCCGGGCTTTCTTCAGACAGCCGGCAATCTGGGAAGCCAGAGCAGGCGTTGCCAAGCCTTTTCCCATGCTTCTGGTCAGGTGGTCTCACCTCCTGTCACTGTCACCCCGCCCTGCGTGTGTAGCAGAAGACAAACAGTACAGCCAACTGGTCTGCATCCCTTCTCGGCCTCTATTTTGGATGGCGTGCAGGCTTACCGTTAACTCAGGACAACCTGCTGGCAGCGTGAGCAGATTCCCTCCCACGGAACGGATGTAAATGTGTCCCTATAATGTGGGATACACACTGGACCAGCAAAATGGCCCAGTGGGCAAAGGTGCTTGCCACCACCCTCACGGTAGGAGCTGAGTCCACAGACCCACAACCCAAGAGTCGGTCTCTGACCTCCGCAGGAATGTTGTATGTACATGGGCCTGCACGCTGGCACATGGGTATGGAGGTTAGGGGACGACTTTTAGGAGCTGGCATTTCGTTCCGCCATGTGGGTCCCTGGGATGGAGCTCAGGTTCATCGAGCTCGGTGGCCCGTGCTTCTCCACCTAGCCATCTAGCCAAACCTCAGACACCAACGCTTAAGTGTCGATTTTAGATCCCTTTGCACCAGAAGCAAAAGAGCTGGCAACTACCTAGGCATGTTCATTACTCATTACTCAAGACTGAAGGCACCAGACAGAGAGACAGGGCCCTCACTGCAGGGTAAAAACATTGAATATGGAAACGACATGCCCAATAGCTTCTGTTATCTATCTATCATCTGTCTATCATCTTTCTATCATCTATCTATCATCTATTATCTGTCTATCATCTATTTATCATCTATCTTTATATCATCGATCATCTTTCTATCATCTATCAATCATCTGTCTGTCTGTCTATCTATCTATCTGAGTGCTAGGGACGGCATCCAGGGCCTTGCACATGGTAGGCAAGCATTCTACACCATCCCTTCTTATTTGAGACTATTCAGCCCAGGCTGGCCTTGAACTCTAGGTCCCCCTCTCTGCCTCCAGACTCTTGGGATCCCATGCTCCCATCACCTGGCATTCTGCTGCCTCCAGATAGGTGGAGGCACCCAGGACTCACCCAGTTGGTAATTTCTGGCCGTTTGCACTTTTCCGTACAAAGAATGGCCACGAAATTGATGGTCCCCTTCCGACGCCCCTTATACACAACGGTCTTGCTTCCTCTGCCAATCTCCTCATACAGGATAAAGTTTTCCATATCGGGGTAGATTTCTCATCTATGGTAAAACAGCATCCCCGGCGCCTGGGGAGCAAACAGAAATGAAGGTGAAAAAACGCCAGCTGGCTGCACCAGAGTCGCCTAGAGTTACTGATGACTGTGAGCCACCGTGTGGGTGCTGGGAACCGAACCCAGGTCCTCTGGGAGATCAGTCAGAGCTCTTAATGCCGAGCCATCTCTGTAGCCTCTCCCCATCCTTTTTTATTTTCCAGACAGGGTCTCACTATGTAGCCCCGCGTCTTAGGGTTATTACTGCTATGAAGAAACACCATTGCTGCGGAATATTTATGCAAAGATGTGTTGCGCTTGTTTAATTATGTAAAGATGCACTGCTGTTTTACCTCGCCTGCCTAAGGCACCTGATTGGTCTAACAAAAACCTGTTGGCCAATAGCGAGGGAGGGGTATAGGCGGGACTTCTGGACAGGGAAAGTAACTAGGAGGAGAAATTTAGGCTGGAGGAAGAAAGAAAAAGAGATGCCAGGGGCCAAACAGACAGACAGGGCAGAAGCGGGAAAGTAGGACTACAGAATGAAAGAAAGGTAAAAAGCCCCAAGTCAAACTGTAGACGAAGAGAAACAGGTTAAATAAAGTTAAAAGAGCTGGAGGGGCAAGCCTAAGCTAAGTCAGGCATACATAATTAGTAATAAGTCTGTGTCCTTATTTGGAAGCTGGGCCAAAGAAAAAAATCTGACTGCACACCACGACCAAAAGCAAGCTGGGGAGGAAGGGTTTATTTGGTTCACACTTCCACATCAGTGTTCTTCTTTGAAGAAAGTCAGAACGGGAACCTGGAGACAGGAGCTGATGCAGAGGCCATGGAGGGAGCTGCTCACTGGCTGCTCCTCACGGCTTGCTCAGCTGCTCTCTTATACAGCCTAGGACCACCAGCCCGGGGATGGCCCCACAATGGGCTGTGCCCTCCCCCATCAATCACTAATTAAGAAAATGCCCTAGCCGGCGGTGGTGGCACACACCTTTAATCCCAGCACTCAGGGAGGCAGAGGCAGGGGCAGGTGGATCTCTGTGAGTTTGAGGCCAGCCTGGTCTACAGAGGGAGTTCCAGAACAGTGAGGGCTACACAGTGAAACCCTGTCTCGAAAAACCAAAAAAAGAAAAAAGAAAAAGAAAAGGAAAGAAAGAAAGAAAGAAAGAAAGAAAGAAAGAAAGAAAGAAAGAAAGAAAGAAAGACAACATCCTGCAGGCTTACCTGCCTGCAGCCCGACCTTACGTGGGCATTTGTGAGCATTTTCTCAACTGACATTTCTTCCTCTCACTCGATTCTAGCTTGTGTTAAATTGACATACAACCAGCCAGCACTGGTAGGGGTCCTTACTTTTCACCCTGGGCAGAGTCAACCCTAAAACAGAGCTGAAGCAGCAACTGCTGGGAAGGGCAGGGAGAACACGCTAAGGTACAGGCAGAGGCAGGGCAGGGAGAACACGCTAAGGTACAGGCAGAGGCAGGGCAGGGAGAACACGCTAAGGTACAGGCAGAGGCAAGCACCGTCTGAAAAACAGCCTGAGCTATAACCATTGAGCTAACCACTGGCAGCAGCCGAGAAACCTCCTCTCAGCAAAGAATCCAGCCAGAGTGAAGGCAGCTGAGCAGGACGGGCTTTGCCATCCATATATCACACAGGGTTAACGCTAGAATCTTAAAAAAACAAAACAAAACTCAACGAAAGCACCAAGAGTGTAAACCAGCAGCGAACAAATGAGACAAGGAACAGACAGTTCACAGAAGGAGGAAGACAGACGGCTGATAAATAAACGAAGGGCGGCTCAGCACCATCAGCCATCAGGGAAATGCAAGTTTAAAGAACAGCCATCGGCAACAGCTGCCACCCCGGGAGCACCAGTGAGGGAGCACTAATGAGGGAGGACTACTGAGGGAGCACCAGTGAGGGGGGACGCGTGCAAAGAGGGAGTCTGGCCGGGCAGTAGTGACCCACACCTTCGACCCCAGCACTAGGGAGGCAGAGGCAGGCAGATCTCTGTGAGTTCCAGGCCAGCCTGGTCTACAGAGCGAGTTCCGGGAGAGCCAGAACTATACAGAGAAATCTTGTCTCAAAAAAAAAAAAAAAAAACAGAAGGAGAAGAGGAGGAGGAGGAGGAGGAGGAGGAGGGGAGGAGGGGGAAGAAGAGCAGGGAGAGGATGGAGAAGTTAGTTGTTAGTTAGCTAGCTAGTTAGTTAACTGTGGTCTATAAGGTACACTTAGAGCTGGCAGAACCTCACCATGCTGTTATTTTACACAGTAGACCAGAGTGGCCAAAGGACATCAATATGGAGGACTCCCAAAAGACAGACAGACAGACAGACAGACGACAGACGCACCTACGGCACAGCCACCCTACTCCTATGAGAACACATACGCCTGTGCATGCATGCATGCACGTGTACACACAGGCGCACTCACACACACAAAGGAGGCTCCAGCAGCACACGCGGGCGGAGCCTTCCGTATCTCCGTCTACCTAAGCCGAAACGTAGACTCAACCTGGATGCCCATGCACAGGTGAATGGACGTGGAAAATGCTTTCTACGCAAGCCACAGAGTGCCACTACTTGGCTGCAAGGAAGAGGGAAACGGCATCGTTTTTCCAGGAAGACAAACGGGATTTGCAGCCACCGTGGAGACTGCGTGAGGGGAGACAGAGCCAGGAAGACAACAAGCGCCGCCCGTTTTCTCCCTCGGGCAGAATCGAGATGTGAGCCTACCCAGTGCACAGTGTGGCGTGTAACCTAGATTTTAACACAGATTTTCTGGGCATGGGGGTACACAGGGACTTCAGGGAAGAAGAAGCAGGAAGAAGGGGTAGTAAGAGGCAGGAACGGCACCACGCCACATGTTCTCTCTCACACGCGGAATTCAGATTTAAACGTAAAGACTGTGGAGGGGGTCACAGAAGCAGGGCAGGGTAGTGAGGGGCTAATATGAGCAAAGCACAATGATGTATGTACAGGAACGAGCTGTGATGAAGCCCATCACGCTGTACTATAGCTTAAAATAGTTTTTAAGAAACGGACACGGGGGAGGGGAGGGGAGAAGATGGCTCAGCCGGGAAGTGCTTACTCTGCAGGCTTGAGGACCTGTGTTCAAATCCTGTGAGCATGCCCTCGCCCTCCCCTCCCCCCCACACACACAAGCAGCCGTGTCAAAACCATAGCAGTGGACTGGAGAGATGGCTCAGCTGTTGAGAGTAAATCCTGCTCTCTTTGCAGAGGACCTGAGCTCTATTCCCAGCACCCACATTGGGTGGCTCACAGCTACCTGTAACTCCAGTTCCAGGGAATCCAACACCATTTCTGGCCTCACAAACACTCAACACACACATGTGCACACACAAATAAATAAGTATAACTAGATAGATCTCATTTAAGAAAAAATAAGACTTTAAAGCCAGGTGGTGGTTGGTGGTGTTGCACGCCTTTATTCCCAGCGCTTGGAAGCCAGAGGCAGGCGGGTATCTGAGAGTTTGAGGCCAGCCTGGTGGTCTACAGAGTGAGCCCCAGGACAGGCTCAAAAGCTACAGAGAAACCCTGTCTTGGAAAAGAAAACAAAAACACAAAGGCTTTGTACAAGCCTCTGAGTTTGGAGATCTTTAACTCTGCTCTGCTGGCCACTAAAACGTGGTGCCCTTCCTCAAATCATTGGAGAGTAATCCTGCAGGCTGAAATCTCCTGTCTTCCATCATCACCCCCACTGGCCACAGGAAGCTTGAAGCAAGGAGCAGAGCATTTTTCAGCTCAACAAGCTTTAACCAGCAAGGAAAGGTATACATCGACCAGGCTGTGGGGTTCGTGGCCAGCATAACCAACGCGGGCCACGGATAGCATCGCGGGCAGTTCAGGATCCGCCCCACCAGAGTACACCGTGGACATCCACCAGGCGGGAGACTCACGCCCGTCACGGCCAGCTTGGATCCCGGGCATCAGCCGAGCGGGAGCGGCGATCCCGGGCCACGGAGACGCACCGGGCTGAAGGGGGTGGCCACCCAACGTCCCATCTCAGGAGCGGGAAAGCGCGCACCCCTGCTCCTCCTGGCCCGGTCCTGGAGGGAGTGGCCTGGTGTCTGACGAGGATGAGGCGGATCCAGGGTGGGACGAGGGATGGAGCCTCAGCTACCCACCCACCTGTGCGATGGTGAGGACCCACGTCCCACGCCCTCTGCCTCGCCACGGCGCGGCCGCAGCCTGGACGAGGGGGGAACAGAGGCACCCAGCGACCTGACCAGCTTCCCTGGACGCGTGGATGAGGCCTCTGCGTCACCGTAGCAACCGGCGAGACGCGGGAAAAGGAGCGGGGGCCTTGATTGGCTGATCGCTCTGCCTACGCAGGGCCCGGAAGTCAGCGGCTTTGCGCGCCCGTCCAGCTGCACTGGGGACCCCACGCCCTTTATGGGATGACCTCGCTGCCCTGAGGGGACGCTTGCAGCTGGAAAGAGACCGAGATTCGTGGGCAGGTCCCCAGGTCTGAGCATCCACCATGCCTCGGCGTCTGGACACTTTGGAGGCCTCCATCCCATCTCCATGACAACACGCAGGCGACCGGAAGAGACCGGCATGCTGAGGGGCTCAGAGCTTCCGGTTCTATGGACGGGCCGGAAGTGAGACTCCTCGGGAACACCTTCCCCCGGCCCCCCAACCCGAAGGCCCGCGCTTCCGATCGGGAAATATCCCAGGCTAAGCTGGGGGAAAAGGCGAGGCTCACACTGAACCGCGGGCGGACCCCGCTCGGCGTTTGCACGCCCTCCCGTCTCCATGGCATCACGCGGGACGCAGGGCGCTGATTGGCTGAGATTGGCCGGAGCTTGGCACGCCTGGAGCTGATCCCCTGCACGCTTGCTTGGACACGCTGTTCCTCCGGGAAACTTCTCGGCCTGGAGCCCTCGGTCTTGCGGACCGAGAGTAGGAGCCATCGGCCTCCCAAGTCAGGGCGAGCACTGGCGACTCGGGTCCCACCCGAGAAGGCAGCCTGATGGCGTAGTTCCAGCCACCAAGCTGCCGGCTCCGCAGATCCGGGTGGGACTTTTAAAAGTCCGTCCTTTCCCCCTGATCCCAGGGCAGCGCGTCTTTATTGTGCTGCGTGTCCTCTTTAAACCGTGTAGCCCAGGCTGTCCTCCAACTCGAGTCCTCCTCCCTCAGCTCCCCCTGGGCTGATAACACCCCCAGAGGCGCCACCACACCTCAAACTTCCGTTCCGATGAAACAGCGAGTTGTCTGTGTCTAATGGAAGTAACAAAGCCCGATCCTGTTGATGCAGAATTCGACTTACAGAACCGGGGGGCGGGGGTGAGGATGGGGCTAAAGTTTCTTTCCTGGGTTGGGCGAGCGTGCAAGATGGGATCGATGTCTACACCTTCCTCCCAAATTTCTAAGGAGAGAGGCCAACGTGTAATAATTCCAGCTCAGCTCACTCTAGGGAAAGAATGAGTTCGTTAAGCTTAACTTGCAGAGTCAGGATGTCGTCTGTGCCCAGCACGGAAGATGGCTTCCCAGTAGCCACATATGTGGCGCTCTTCACCCCCTGTATATCTAGACCCTCTCCAGGACACCCTCCTCCACTTGTAATCAGGACACAAATGCATATAAAGGCTAGGAGGAGTGGCCGGGAGCTCGGGTGAAGGTCCAAAGACCCACATGTCCCTTCCTATGAAGGAATATCAGTAGTCAGCTAGACATGCTGTTGTTGGTCAGTGACTGGCCTCGAACTCACAGAGATCCGACAGCCTCTGCCCCCGGAGTGCTGGGATTAAAGGTGTGCGCCACCAACGCCTGGCTACCTTCCTACTATTTATTGTTTCCACTACTACATTAGATTACTTAATCCACCTGGAATTTAGTTTGGCAAACACAGGAAATTAGAATATAGCTTCATTACTCCTAAAAATAATTAGGCAATTATGTTGGCAGTATAAGGTTGTCCTCTCTTTAGGAATGTTTTATGTCTCCCCCATTACAGCTCTAAATTTTAATGTATGCATTGAAGTCTATTTCCAGGCTATTACATTTTTCTCCACTGAGCTATTTTTGTACTTGCAGAAGAAAGTTCTTAATTTTAGTTTAAATATTTATAATAAAAAAGGAAGAAAAATTACCTGCAATGGTACTCCTGTATTTAGGAGACAAAGAGAGAAGTATCGATTGAGCCCAGAGGTTAGAGCCCAGCCTTAAGCAACACAGTAAGGCCTTGTCTCAAATTGCTTAAGTTACCTGCAGAGGAAGAGTGGTTTGGGATGACCGTTCAGACATGAAGGGAAGGGAAACAGCTGAGAATCTAAGCAGAATCTTTGAAGCGCTGAACTGTGCTAACATAACAGCCTGGCTGTGGGCAGAGGCGAGCCTGTTGTTAAACAGAGGCTTGCATATGAGAACATCACAGTGCTACGTTGTTGGGGGAGACAAAGTCTGGCTTGGAGACTGTGGGAATCATCGTCATCCAAACCACCACACCGTGTAAATCCCTAGGGGATGTCCCAGCCTGCCTGCATTTCCAGGCTTGGAATGTAGATTCCTACCAAGAGCGACCATATCCAGGGTTAGCAGATCTGACTGAGAGGCCTCACCTCACTCAGTACGGTGGGAGAGCTATAGAAGACGGCCCTGACATCACGGGATTTCACATACGTGTGCACACTCGTGCATGCTCACCTCACACAATGCAGATGTGTGCGCGCACACACACACACACACACACACACAAACCCTGTCTCATAGAAGCAAATATCAAAATCTTTCCTTCTAGCCTTTCTGAAGCAGGACCACGTTGAGGCCGTGGACAGCCCCATCTTTGTTCAACAGGGCGTCGGTTCTCGATTCACAACAGCTCCTGTCAGTCAGCCCTTACACCTCTGCCCTTCCCTCAGCCCTCCAAGCCTCTGCCGATATAGTCTCCTGTCGCCCTCTGTGAGACAAACTTCTCCAGGTTCCACACACAGGTAAGATCACGCAGCCTTGGAGTACGAGGATATCGACCAACTCGTCATCACACAGGATGTCCACCGGACCTGGAACCACGGGAGTGCCGTAATGACGTCTGTGCACAGTGCTGCCGTGTGATCCCAGTTGAACAGGATGCTCACCTTGCTCGGCCTTCTCTCTGTGCCTGTCCACCCTTCTCTGCCCTGCAGCCTCTCTCCATGGCAGGGAGGGGGTCACCAGCTGGCTGGAGAGCAGTCATGGAGAGATTAATGTTTGCCTTGCACGATGATTTGTTGAAGCCAGCTGGGAGTGCCAGATTCTGAGAACAGGAGAAACAAAGAGAGATGGGGGTTGAAGACTAAAACAAAGGAAAACCACTCCAGAGGGGGGATTCAGGAAGGAAAGAAGGGAGGAAGGAAGGAAGGAAGGAAAGAAGGAAAGAAGGAAGGAAGGAAAGAAGGAAGGAAGGAAGGAAAGAAGGAAGACAAACCTTTTAGAGCCATTACTTTTTCATTTGAAAAAAGATTTTGAATGTATGTATGTATGTATGTGCATGCAAGTTCCAGGACATCTGAGGATACATAGGGGAACCATGTCTTGAAAAAAACGAAATGAATGAATAGATAGATAGATAGATAGATAGATAGATAGATAGATAGATCAAAACTAAACAGCTTCTGTGTGGCATCATTAAGGCACCTGCCTTCAAACCTGGAGAACTGAGTTCCATCACCAGGTCCCACACGGCAGAAGGACAAAACCAACTCCTGCAAGTTGCCCTCTGACCTCCACACATGCGGCATGGCTGAGAAGCCGTATGGGTGTAGCCCAGTCTGTGAGACAGAGGTTCCTGCTCTGAGCCATAGGCTTGCTGTGTTCGCTGAGAGGGATCACTGTGTGTTATATTAATACGCACTCTAGGCCAGGCTTGACCTCTCTGTGCAGCACAGGTGGCCTCTAACTCGCAGACGTCCCTCCTGTCTGAGCCTCTCAGGTGCTTGTATTACAGGTAGAACTGCTACACCTGGCGTTTTTTATTTGGTTGGTTGGTTGGTGGGGGGTGTCGCTCATGAGTTTATCACTTTGGTTTTACAACAAGGTCTAGTGTATCCCAGACCGGCCTCAAACTTGCTGTGTATGAAGTCCAGGCTGGTATTTAACGCCCCACCCTCCTCTGGGGTACTGTACACTATGATGCCTGTTTTATGTGGTGCTGAAATCCAACCAAGGACTCTATGCATTGTGGGCAAACACTTTACCAGCTGAGCTGTATCTCCAACTCTTTGTTGTTTTGAGGCAGAGCCTTACCCTGTAGCTCAGGCAGGCCTGGAACTTACTCTACGACCTACGCTCACCTCAGAATTGCCGCAGTCCTCCTGCCTCACGTCCCAAGAGGCTGGGATTATGTTCGGAGCCACTGAGCCCTGGTAAGTTGCTACATTGTATGTCTTTCCTGCTAAACGCCGCTTCCCAGAAATGAATGAGAAAAGCCGATAAAGGTGACGTACTCTTAGCCGAATGCAAACTAACCATGTAGCCCCCAGAAAGAGACTGGGGAGTGAGAAGACGGAAGCAGCCAGCAAAGAAGAAGGGGCACACCTGTGAGCCCTTGCCAGCCCTCTGAGCTGCATCCGGTGACTCTTCTCAGCCTGTGGCCACGGATGACAGCGTGTCCTTGAAGGACTTAGTGCAGTCTGGAGACACTGCAGTGCTTACCAGTGAAACTGAGGTCTGAGGTCAGGATCTGCTGCTACACAGTGGTAGTGCCAGTCTTTAGTCACAGCGCTTGAGAGGCAGAGAGGTAAGCCAGATCTCGGTGAGTTCCAGACCCGCCTGGTCTACGGAGTGAGTTCCAGGACAGTTAGGGATACACAGAGAAACCCTGTCTCAAAAAAAAACAAAAACAAAAACAAAAAAACAAAACTTTTGTTACTTCTACAACTGCCATGCAAAAATAGACTTTATTTTGACAGATTTCAAGAATTTGAAAAAAGATATCACGGCTAGTGTATTACACTCAAGTACACATCACAGGCTTAGACTGTCTGTTTGATTCAGTCTTTCTGTCTCCATAGCTTTGTCATGCTTTGTTGATTGGATCTCTTGCAGCTTTGTTGAATGGATCTCTTGCGGCTTTTCCTATAAGATTTCTCTAATGGCTTGAGTGTGAAGTGTCCCACAGGCTTGTGTGTGAATGAATACTCGACCACCAGCAGGTGGTGCTGGCTTTGGAAGCTGGACAATGTGAGTGGCCCTTGAGGTGTATAGCCTGATGTCTCTTCCTGCCCCATGCTTGCTTCCTAGTCTGTGCAGATGTGAGCCGCTTCTCCGGGATGCCTTCTCCG